CCAAATTTAACTGAATTCAGCAAAATTATGCCTACTTCCTCGGACCCCAACCAAAATTATATTATAAGAGGAGATAAGAAATACAACACAGAAGAAGAGAATTGCGCCGTGGGATGATTTTTACATTGGATAAGGGATCATTTTATAGAATGAATTTCTCCCTCATCCAATCTCCCAAACGATGTGGGATGAAGGAGCCAACAATTGTTGACTTTTCTTACAAATCTCCACCTTTGTCGATCTTCTAATCCCATCTGAAATATCTTCTCCAAAACTCTTCAGCCAAAAAATATGGCAGGGCCTCCAAATGCGCTTTAAACACAAAATTCAAACTCTCAGAATATTTATCAAGTCCAAACAATGTTCAAACTTGATACTTGTTACAGCTTTTGTCAGCATATTCGCAGGATATTCAATGGTCTTAATCTTTTGTACCTTGACTCCACCTTCTTCAATTATTTCCCGCACAAAATGGTACCATACATCTATATGTTTTGTTGAGACATGATATACTTGATTCTTTGCTAAATGAATAGCACTTTGGTTGTCACAAAACACCGTAATGTGTTTGTGATGGACTCCAAAGTCATCTAGTAATCCCTGTAACCAGATTGCCTCTTTAACAACCTCAGTTATGACCATGTATTCTGCCTCTGTTGTTGACAGAGCAACAATAGACTATAAGGTCGACTTTCAACTAACTGGTGCGTTTGATAGAGTAAACACATAACTAGTAGTTTATCCAAATCTCCTGCATAGTCTAAATCGCAGTACCCAACTATATATTGAACAGTATCATTTCTTTGAAACAATAATCCAAAATCTAAGGTTTTCAAGATAGACCTTAGAATCCATTTCATGGCTTGTGAGTGTTCTTTTCCTGGATCATGCATATATCTGCTCATGATCCCAATTGCATGTGAAATATCAGGTCTGGTACACACCATCGCATACATCAAGCTACCAACGACATTTGAATAAGGAACCTTTCACATGTAATCATGTTTCTCTTTCGTTTTCGGACACTGTGAAACGCTAAGTTTGAAATGAGAGGCAAGTGGTGTACTCACAGGTTTGGTTTTGTCCGTCATGCCAAATTTTTGTAGTAATTTCTTTTTAAGTATTGCTTTTGGATCAAGCACAATGTGTCTCTATTTCAATCTCTCATTATTTTTATGCCGAGAATCTTTTTCGCTTCACCAAGATCTTTCATTTCAAACTCTTTGTTGAGTTTGGACTTCAACCTGTTTATCTCTCATCTATCCTTCGAAGCATTAACATGTCATCTACATAGAGAATAAGATAAATAAATGATCCATCAGATAGCTTACAAACGTATACACAGTGATCGGAACTGCTCCTGGTGTACTTTTTGGTTGGTCATAAATTGATCAAATCGTCTGTATAACTGTCTTCGAGATTGTTTCAATCCATACAACGATTTGCTCAACTTGCATACCCAATCTTCTTTTCCAGCAACCTTAAATCCTTCGGATTGAACCATGTAGATTTCCTCCTCCAAATCACCGTGTAAGAATGCCGTCTTTACATCTATTTGAACTAGTTCCAAATTATACTGCGCTACCAAGGCCAACAAAATACGAATAGAGGAATATTTTACAACATGAGAGAATACCTCATTGTAATCAATTCTTTCCTTTTGAGCATAGCCTTTGGCTAAATCTTGCCTTGTAGCGGATGTCATTACAATTGAGAAATCCTTCTTTCTGAGCATAAATCCGCTTGCATCCAATTGCCTTCTTTCCCTTTGGTTGCTCAACTAGCTTCCATGTGTGATTTGCATCAAGGGAATGTATTTCCTCGTCCATGGCTTTCATCCACTTTTCTTTGTCAGAAGAATGCACTGCATCAAGAAAAGTTTCTGGTATGCCTTCTTCAATAACAGGAAGTGCATAGGCCACCATACTTTGAAATCGAACACGTTTTTGAATTTCTCTTCTGGGCCTCCTAACTGCAATTAGTAAATCTTGTTGAAAACCTCTCTTTCTATGAGCTCTTCTGTGGCACATGAATCATCATCTTCCATTGGTTGACCATCTACTGGTTTGGTCATAGGTGACAAAAACTCCACATGTTCGGGAGAACTCTCCACCTTTGGGGAAGTACCATCCATTTGTTGCTCGGTTATTTTATTAAACATTGTTGATTCGTTGAAAGTAACATCCCTGCTAAGGATCACTTTTCTCATCTTTGGGCACCATAGGCGATATCCTTTTACACAAGATGATATCCTTACTTAAATAGCTTTTCTCGCTCTTGAATTGAACTTTGATTCTTTTATGGGATAATATGCAATCGATCCAAACACATGTAAAGAATCATTTACAGGTAGTTTGTTAGTTAGTTAGTGAGGTAAATATGATTTCATTTCTTGTTGTGACTTATCTAATGAATTATTCATTCATTCACTTAAGAGCTTGCTAGATGGCTAGATCAACCACCCATCCATCTATTATCTATTATCAATTATCGATTATCCACGATAACAAACAAAACCTTTTATTCTCTAATGCATGGTTTCACAAGTATCGACTCTACTTAAGCAGGTTTCCGAAAGAAAATGAGACAGCAGCAGTAGCAGCATTTTCATGTTGTGAGATAACACAACAGGATGATGATGATGATGATGATAATAATAATAATAATGATACATATTTGAAAGTGGGTAAGCCTTGTGGAGGAAATGGAAATGGTTGTCACAAACTAAGACTTATGAGGCTGAGATTGCAATGCTGCAGCTGCAATCAAGAAAATATCTTGATATAGGTTGGATCCTGGGTTATTTTGCTCTCTCCTAACTTAGAAAAACAAGTAGCGGGTGACGGGTCCTGCTAACCGTACCAACTATAGGTTTGTTTTTTCTTTTTCAATCTTCGGGTGCCAACTAGTTTTTGAGTGTTTCGTAACACGGGTGGCCTTCTTGTACTTTTTCTTAATTGTGATGTTGTGACAGTATTTTGTTCTTGCTGCTATGGCATTATTGGTTTGTGGAAACATTCAAAATTGTTGATCAAATATTCAAGAACTTTATATTGTTGATGTGTGGTTTCCAAGCAGTTTATTTTTGTCGTTAATTCGTTGTTGTACATGGTTCTCCGGTTTGGAACTTACTCTTTGTGGATATTTACGTTGTCATCGCAGTAGATACTCAAACTTAAAGTTGAATATAATTATTTGAATTACCAATGTTATGCTATGATTTTAGGTTCTTATGTTTATTTAGTATGCATTACGAACAATGCTGGAAATTTTGTTGGATAGTTTGGAGCTTTGTATGCCTAATTTATTTGCGGTGTAGTGTGCGGGTTCTAAGTAGGACAGCTCTTGGATTTTGCAACATTTGAGAATCACCTCAGTTATGTTTCATTTTCTTTGAATCATTACTGATGTTTAAATTCATTGTTATTATTTATTTGTTAATTGTTTTGTGATATTCTCAATTATTTCTTTAAACATAACATGTATTTGTGATTTGTAATTAGGTGATAATTTGCAATAGTTAAGATGTTTGTCACATCTGCTATGGTTCTGGATACCACTCTAATCCTACCTACAAATGTTGGTGCACGCACATTTGACGAGGTAGTCAACATCGAGTCCATCAATTGGACATGTAAAGTTGTACATAATTTGTTCTTTTAAATATTTTTCCTTGAAAGCTAATTATATTCATTTGGCAAGGATAAAAATAAACAAGTTTACTTTTTATTGTCGAAAACATCTGTCATACTTATGTTTATTTTTATATATTTTGGAAGCTGGATATTTTGGATGTTAGGTAATTCAAATATGTCTGAATATGGTTGTTTGGGCATAATATTGTATTTATATTTTTGGTGTGTTAGAAAACGTTGGATCTCTATCATTTTGTATCTTTCTACATGATTTATGTATTTAGTATAAACAACAGGATTAATTTTGTAACAAATACCATTATTTTTGTTATTTCTGTTAAGTCGTTACAAAAAGTTATGTTACGGTCACGAGGAAATTAAAATAGTTTTGTTGTTACATGGAACTTTCGTAACAAATATTTTTTTAACGAGATTTAAGTATTTGTAACGTCTAATTTGTAACGGAAATTTTTGTAACAAGAGGTTATTATCACGACAAAAAATAATAATACCGGCTTTTTTGTAACGGATAATATCGCTATAAAAAATGAATTGAACCATTACAAATAAATTTAGCACGTGCGTAATAAGGGCATTGAACATCAACCTTTTGTTACGGAAAGTGTTGTTACATGGAATTTTTGTTATTTGATTTTTTGTATCGGTCAAAATCCATTAATGTGGGTCAACTATGCGCAACTGTGCAGATTTTCGAAAATGGTGTGAACCGACCGCTCCAACAACGACCAACACACTTGATCATATGCTAAAAATAGAAATAAAAAGATTTTTGGCATTTTTAATATGCCAATATTAGTTATGCTACATAAAGTCTATCCATTTGATTGACTAGTTTATACATTGATTTAGCAAATCTTTGGAATATATTTAGGGGCTGATTTTATACCTTTCAATAATTAGTGTTAATTATATATTATGTGTAATAATCTTTTAAAATAAAAAATAGATGTTTGATTTGTTGTTTTTGTTAAAAAAAAAATTGATGAATAATAAATTTTGAAAAGAATCTCCGAAACAAACAGCACCCTTAGTATATATTTATCTGCACAAATAACTATATCAACTATTTGTTTCTAATATAAATTTATCAATGTGCATGATATATAATATAAAAATAATTAAAATTAATGTATTATCTAATACCTATATGTAGCACGGGGTAACCGTAGTTTATATAGTTTGAATATATAGATACTCGAGAAGGCAAATAAATAGTGCACTTCCATACTTCGGTTCCGATACACCTAAAATATGCGTTTCGGCTTCCCGGATACTGCTAGAACTTAAAACTCTTCAATTTTGTTCTTAATAAGTGTGAAATAATTGGTATATATGCTCACGGGATCAGTCAATTTCACACACTATATATATATATAACAAACATTACACACTGAGAGCACTGGGGCACACTGACTGCACCAGTTTTATTATCCATGCATGGACAAACATTCGTAGATGACTTCATGCATATTATTCCTCAACACAGCTAAACTCAGTAGTAAATAGACATGGATTTAATTTAACAGCAGGTCTGATCCTCGTAGACTTGCGCATTTCGACTAGTCCGAACCCGATCTCTCCCTAGTTTTGCGGCTTGTCTCCCGGCCTAGGATCGTAGGTCGCATGTGAGCTGTCTTTAGTATAACGACAGCACCAGCGGAGGCAGCCGTAACTTCCTCGCAAGCAGCAGTAGCGGTAGCGGCAGCCACCGTATTGGTCGGTCCCTACAGCTGAATTACAAGAACACATCAGTTCAGTTCATAGAATGACAGTTGTTTGGAGGACTTCTACACATTTTTTATTATTCATCAATTTTTTTTTTTCTTAAAAAATTTTACGTCATTAAATTTAAATTTTTTATATATACTATGCCAAAAATTTATTTTATGTTAAAGTAATTTTTCATTCTATGTTTAGATATATAAGATCATTATATTCAATTTTAAAATTTTTACTATTTAAAATTACGACTCAAAATCCAAACCCGAAAAAACACACCCTTTATCTGTAAACTTATTAGTTATTGCATAATTTGAAAAAAAAATAATTTGTTTGCCTCGATTTGGTACCGCTCTCGCAGCCCGAACTTTATGCTTTTTTATGATACAATTTTCTATAAATATTATAAAAAAATATATAATATATACATATATTAGTATAATTTGTATAATATATACACTTAATCTGCTAAAAGAAATCGGAGTTTTCAACACAAAATATTATTTTTTATATTATACGGACAATTTTCATACCTAACTAATATATACAACATCCAAAAACACAAGATGAATACAAATATTAAAAATAATTGACATTTAAATTTTCAGCCGAGTTTTAATTAATTAAGTTCATAGAATTAGAAATAATTTATGCTTACATTCAGTTTCGACTGAAGTCTGAGATGAAACTTTGGAGGAAATGAGAAGAACCATAGCCAAGCAAAGGATCAGAAATGTGGATACTCTGGAGGCCATTTTTTATTTGGTTAATATCCTTACGGAATTATTTTCGGAAGATGGTATAATTTTTGGATGAGAACGACGATGCTTATTTATAACAAAAAGGGATAATTTAATGTAATTTTTAAAAAAATAATAAAAAGTCACTAAAAAAAATTAGCAATATTTTAATTAACATATTCTGATTGATAAGAGAAAATTTATATAGTTTTCATGCTTTTCATTATTAAGCTGTGGGGCCAATATATGTATATATATTTGTGTGTTTTCGTAGGTGAAAGTTGTAGCGGATTATCTTCAAGTGTGTTTTGGGAAAAATTCAGATGGAATTGAATAATATGCAAATTAGATTCCATAACATAAGATAAGTCATACTCCCTCCGTCCTAAAAGATTTGTTTTGTTTTTCATTTTCATTCGTTCCAAAACAATTGTCTTGTTTCCTTATTTAGTAGTCGTGGTCCTCACTTTATAACAAAATTATTCCTACTTTTTCATACTACCTCTAATTATTAATCTAACATACTCTTTAAAATTCTTCAAAAAGTAAACACATTTTAATCATTTACATTCTATTTTATACCCACTTTCAATTAAATACTATTATTCTTTAATTCCCGTGTCAACTCTCAATAAGACACTTCTTTTGGAACGGAGGGAGTATTACACAAATCATGTGTGGCAGACAAAATTTATAGACGTCGAGAGTTTGAGGATTTAGGGTTACTAATGTGTTATAAAATTCAAATTGAAGTTTCAAAAGTATTGTACATCAAGCCCTCGAGTGTCAGTTCATCCAGTTTATTTGGGCACGTGATAGTATTTTGAGTTACACCTCCATATATTTGATGTAATCTATTGGTAATTTACACTTTGAAAATATTAATGAAACTAGCGTCAACTTTGCATTTTTGTGTAAGTTTTTATTATTTTTTATTTTTTTATTTTTCTAATATGACTGGTAAAATAAGATATGGAATAAAATGATGGCATTTTATAGGTAGTGTGATTATTGTCAAATATATACGAAACAAGTGGAAAATGAAGATAATAAAGTCTCTCCAAAGAGACTTATTATTTATGTTTAGTTAATAATGATGTTCCATGTACTGAACAGCTCTTTTTGCTATCAAACTCTAATAGGTAGAATGAATCAAATAATGTCAAATTGTTGGATATGTAATATCATATAAATTCCATTTGATTTTATTCTTTTATTATGTAATCATCATAAATTTGAATGAAAATACTATTATTTTTATAAATATAATTATCAGTTTCAAATTAATATTAAAATTAAAAAATAAAAATAAAAATAATTAAACTCCAAAAAATACACGAGTAATTTTTAAGATTCGTTATTACTTAAAAAAAAAAAAAAAAGAAAAGAAGAGAGAGAGAGGGAGAGAGGGGCTGAAGCTTCTTTCACTGGGCTAAAATAATGTGTAAAGCATATGTACAGAGCTCCTATTTTAGTAAGACCAACATGAGAACTTGCTCAAGATTTTTATTTTAAGGAGACTCGTGTTTTTGAAATTTTAGTCTATTATTATTATTATTATTATTATTATTAAAATTTAATTTAAATTTTATTCGATATTTTTTTCTGTAATTACTCAATCCAATTCGATATCTAAAATTAAACTCTAACCACATTTTTATTAAAATTAATTTTATTTTTCTCAGCATTTAGAATTCATAATTATTATTGTTATTATTACTATTACTATTGGGTTATTGATCGTTTTACAATAGTCAAAGTACTGTTTATTTTCAACTGATATACACTTTGTAGGTATATTTTATTTATTGGATTATATGATTAATATAATTCCACTTTTGTGAGATTTATTATTATATTTATAGTTGATAGTATTTTTTTTAAGAAAATTAATTATTTATTTATAGGACCTAATATGTTTTTTTTTCTCAGACCCTAAAAATTTGAAAACGGCCTGAATGTGTACTAGTTAATAAAATATTGGATAAACTGTTTTTTTAGTCCCGTAACTGGACCCCCTTATCATTTTAGTTCCGTAAGTGGAGCCTGTCGCAAACTAGTCCCATAAGTGAAAAATTTTCGCTGTTTTAGTCCTCCGGCGCCGGAGATGCCCGCATAGCTCGCCGGAGGTGACGTGTCCGCCAGGTCAGCGACACCTGGCGGACACGTGGATTTTTTTTTTTTTTCATTTTTTTTAAAACTTATTTTTAATTTTATTTGTAATTTTTTATTTGGTCCAATTAAATAAAAAATTTTAAAAATTTTAAAAAAAAAAGTGAAAAAAAAAAATTAAATCCACGTGTCCGCCAGGTGTCGCTGACCTGGCGGACACGTCACCTCCGGCGAGCCACGCGGGCGTCTCCGGCGCCGGAGGACTAAAACATCGAAAATTTTTCACTTATAGGACTAATTTGCAACAAGCTCCACTTACAGGACTAAAATGATAAGGGGGTCCAGTTACGGGACTAAAAAAACAGTTTACCCTAAAATATTTAATTACAAATTGATTATACATATTCAATAAATTCGACATTTAAATAAATTTTACCACAAGTTTAAACGACTTCATTATTCGTTCAACATTATTTAATTTTGGTATAGATATTAGATCAACAAAATTTCCTGAACACTCTATATCGTGGAACAATGATCAAAGCTTTTGTTTGGATATGATTTAAAAGATATTTGGAATTCTCGATATGTTCGGGGAATAGTTGTTGCGGATTATTTTTTATTTTGGATGTGTTTATATTATTAAAAATAAATAAATAAATCAAAATTTTATTACGAAATCGAAGAATTTTTTTTAAAACTAGATTTGGTTTAGACTCAACCTCAAACCAACTCAGAAACACAAAATCGGCACAACACACACCAACTAGCGACTAACACAAGAACATTGGCCAAAAACTCACAAAAAGACATAAAATAACCCCCAAAGACCGAAATAAGGGATATATGAATAACACCACAAGCCTACCATGTTGAACAAGTCCCTTGCGACTACGAACAACCAAACAAGGGAGAAAATGTACCAAGTATACTCCACAAAATAACAGGAGGAAGGCACCGCCGTAGAACCGTCGAAAAAGTCGCCAGAAAAGAGTGCGCGTAAAAGAGAGGGAGAGGCTAGAGATGGTGAATTTAGAGAGAAAATATAAAAGTGTATATCTGACGGCGCCATGTCTCTTACTCTATATATATACATAGGTCAAAAATCAATGGACGGATGAGATTAAACCCCTAGATCGAACGGCTAGCGCATCATCTTGCAAGGGACGCGGATCCTAACCGGCTCAAGGGTTGCGGGCTTCGGACACGGGTAAGGGTAGGCACGGATTCGTGGGCTTGAGAAGTGGGCCAAGGCCTAGGTATCACTTGGGCTACATGGTTGTGTGTGTATTGTATCTTATATTGGGGTGGATCCATTCGGAACAAAAATCCAACAAATTGTCCACCTGATTTTTTGTTCAAGTGGTTGGAAACATTATCGCCCGTCTATTTATCTGCATTAAAAGAAAATACATAATGTTAGTTTTTGAAGAATATATATTAACTTATCCTACCAACTATACTAAATAGTACAAAGCTAATCAAAAGTATCGCAGTGTATATTTTTTATACAAGATACAAACTTGTTTACAGACAAAACTATAGTACCAACATCATCTGGTTTATACCTAGTGAGGAACTTTTTTCCAATTTCAATATGTTTGGTTTTGTCGTGGAATACAGGGTTTTGACACAGTTGAATTCCGACTGACTGTCCCAAAAAACAGTAACAATATGTTGCAAATAACATAATTCATTGATTAAATTTTTTAACCATAATACTTCTTATAAAGCCTCATTTACTGTTACATATTCGGATCTTGTTGTAGATAATACTACAATGTGTTGTAATTAGGATTTCCAACTTCTAGAAGTTCCACATAAGGTAAAGATATAAGAAGTTGTATTTTTTCTAATATCTCTATTATTTGCATAATTTGAATCCACAAAACCCTATAACTTAAGTTTTTATTTTTACCAAAGACATGACGAACATTTATTGTGTCAACTAAGTATCTAAAAACCCATATTAAAGCATGTCAATGTTATAACCAAGAATTCGACATATATCTACTTAAACAACTAATTGCATATTCTAAATTTGTCCTAGTGCTAACCATTAAGTACATTACGGAACCCATTGAATTAGATTAAGGCACATGTTTCATATATTTACAATCAGATTCAGACTTTGGATATTGATCTTTACTTAATACAAAATTAGAACCCATAGAAATAGAAACAGATTTAGTATCACTTATAGAAATTTTTTTAATAATTTTTTAAATATAAGCTGACTGCTTTAAAAACAGTCTTAAATTTTTTCTATCTCTAGTGACACTCAACCTAAAATCACTTTGGCTTCACCCAACAATTTCATGTCAAACTTATCACACGAATATTTAGTCCACTGATCAATCAACTTTAAACATGGATTAATAATAAACATATCATCAACATAAATGAGAAGAAAAATAAGTTTATTTTTAACAATCTTAAAATACAAACAATAATCAATTTTTTTTTTTTTTGTAAATTCAAGTTTTTCATACAATTATCAAATTTGATATTTCATTGTCTAGATGACTGTTTTAAACCATACAATAATTTATTTTACAAACAAACATCATTCATTTTGTTTTTTTCAACAAAATCTTCAGGTTGTTTTATATAAATTTTCTCATTTAGTTCACCAAGTAAAGAAGTTGTTCTAACATCTAATTGTTTTAGCTTTTAATCATAAAATGCAACTAAAGCTAAAATGACTCTAACAGTGGTAAATTTGACAGTATGGACAAAAATTTCATTATAATCTATTCACTTGTTCTGGGTAAAACCCTTGGCTACTAATCTTGCCTTAAACCTAATTTCACTATCTTCTTGTTTAACTTTATAAACCCATTTACAATCAATAAGAGAACAATTATGAAGTTTTGAGACTAAACACCAAGTTTTATTACCATATAATGAATCCATTTCATCTTTCATTGCTCT